GGCAAATTTTTGATCAGAATTCTTGATTATTGATCAGAAGGTGCTCCTTAATTTTTTTAATTAGGAGGACAAGTGCTCCTGATTACAAGAAAAACACTGCTCTTAAACTTGGTGTGTGACAGGTATGGCTTTGGAATGGGGTTTGGCCGAGGTTTTTTTTTTTGCTTTAACCCCTGACTACTCTACTACAACAATTATTACGTTTGTTTAAAAGAATAATCACACAATACGCTATTTCTTCCATGTTTTAATTTTAATAATAAACCCTCCTTTGAGTTTACTGTGGGAGTACTACACTCAACCAACACTAGGGAAGGCAGTTTTTGTCGGAGCCCTTGTTGTTCTTAATTTTGACGTTAATTTTCATTTTTACACCAGACATATATATCGGTTCAAAATATCGGTTATCGGTATACTTGAGCTGTAATAATCTGTATCGGCCTTGAAAAACACATATCAGTCAACCCCTAGTAGACAGTGTAACACTGGTTTTGCTTGGTTTCACAGAACTAATCGTTGCCTGGGTTGCATACGTATGTGTGGGGCGGAGCTATCAAAATAGGGGCGAGACACTTTTGGGGTAGGGGCGTGTTTGTTTTGGTGATTTGAAATGTCAGCATTGGCTACCAGAAATCACTTACCCCACCTTTAAACAATGTTATGATGTAAAATGAATAAATACTTCAGATTTTGCATTATTTCTAGGTCACTAATCAAATGCAAGTTTGTGATATTGATCTGTGTTCTGAAATTCTGAAACGTCTATACATTTTTCATTTCTATACATGGTATCAGACTTTTGAACTCCACCTGCAAACTACTGCCTGTCTGAGTATGAATGTTAGGTCAAATAAAACACTTGAAAATGTTGAAAAGAGAGAAACAACAGCCACCAAGTAAATGGCAACATTAACACAAACATACAGACAGTCACTTTGAATATCAGATGTATGGTGGAAAATTTCAACTAACCAGATGAAGCACAACATCAACTACAGTACAACAAATAAATGCATATTGATGCTCGCCAACAACATTCACATTTGTCTTTGTGCATTAGGTTACCGTTTCAACTCAAATATAATGAATATCAACATGTTTTCCATGCAAAATGATTGGACATAACAACTCCGTATAAACACAATACGAGCAAGCATAAAAAATGGTCCAAGGACGGAACCTTGCATACACCTACAATCTCACATCACTGTAATACACTGGTGATACACAGTGAAAGAGAGACTGGTTTTTAGGGTTTACCGTGAGAAGGCAAATTGAGGAGCAGGGCTGTCCTAGGCCTACTTTCAGACTTTGCTTCCTGTTTGAATCCTGTCTCAATTCCTGTTTAGGAAAGGTGGATGAAGGATAGGCTAGTAATTCTATGTTTGTAATTCACTAGTCCTTCAATGTGAATGCAACCCATATGAAGCACTAAGAGTTATGGGGCTTGGTCCAATGGTTAATTTCTGTTGAAATCCAATTCCAACAGCTGGAACGTCATGCACTTTGCGACATTAGTCATACGCTCTTAAAATAGCATTTTTAGTATTGAACTCGTTCATTCATATTGTCAGGGGGAAGTGAATCTTGTACCAACCAAATCCAAGACCAAAAGCTCACTCACATGCAGCATGTGGTGATTTGTACTGGGCAAAAGCCTGCAGGCAGAACTGTGGTACCTCTGAAGTAAGGGATGTAGTTGTGGTGTTGGAGCAAATCCAGAGTAGTGGGGTTGAGGGGCAGGGCCACACCACCACTCCCTGCCTGTGGTGTGTTTCTACCACTGCCGCAGTACAAAGGCAGTGGGGAGGAGCCTCTGGCACTACCATGGGCACTACTCCTCCCCGAAGTTGGAACAGGCAACACATTTTCTGGATGAGTGGTGTATTTGACACTCAGATATTGCTCTGATCAAGAGACCCAGACGGTCAGGGAAGAATGGCAATAATATGAGATCAGCAACTATACTTAAAAACCAAATGATTCTTGAATTACTTTCTTCCATGAAATTCTGTATCAAATCAGTTTATTGTGGTTAAAAATGTCATTTTAGAAAGGAATGCTTTAGCTCTGTTCCACATCTTAGTGAACTGCCTCGCTACCTACTGTTTTTACAACCTGCATTGAATCTCTTAAGTGATTGATTTGGAATGCTGTACAAAAGATGATTTCAATACGATGTTGAAAACAGTTGTGATGCTTAATACTTTTGTTAATAAATTTTTTCTGATTCATTCAGTCATGGTGGTGCTTCTTAATATTTTTTATGATAATTTTTTTGATGAACAGAAGTTCAAAAGAAATCTAAATAATATAGAAATCTTTAGTGACATTTTTGTTTAGTATATAATAGATACATACACTATATATACAAAAGTATTGGGGCACCCCCTTCTTTAGAATAGAAAAAGGCACTTCCAAAACTGTGAAAACAAAGATGGAAACTAGGGGTGTGCGATATTGACAAAAAAATTATATCTCGATATTTTCTGGGACTTTATCGATAACGATAATTAAACGATATTTTGCTGAGTGTGTTATTGTGCTGGTATCTTAAGGACTGCCGAAGACAGCTGACTCCTAATGTTTTTAATATTCTTCATATTCTGTGTGGTGGTCAGTTCATACTGATAGAAATTAATCTTTTCCAATAAGTTTAAACTGATTTTTGCATTTTATGGGCATTTTTACCTTTATAAAGCAATTTTTTCTAAAAGTGTCCATTATCTTTTGAGTCAAATTCTTACATTTAATCAGGGAATTAGAATAATAAGACATTTGGGCTTTACCAAGCAAATTAAATCAACATAGAAGCTGCATCTGAAGTGGCATTTAGATGCATTTACACACATGTATTTTGTTTAATGCAAGACATGAACACATTTAACCTGCAATTACAAATGCATAAATAATGTCTTGATATATTAAACATAAAACGTTGAATACTGATATTTGAAATGATTTAAAACATGAAAAAATCAAAAAGAAAAGAAAGAAAAAGCCAAAATTTGAAATTAAAACCGCCAGCAAATCACTGTTAATAAGTGAGTCATTGCGATTGAACCGAATCATTTAAACGGTTGATTCATTCAAGAACAAAACACCGTCATGATGCTCAGAGACACAAAACAGCACTGTGGCTGTATTCGGAATGATTTTTGTTGGCGAAATAGAGCAAAAACAAGCAATATGGTGTCTAAAACGCAAGTCTCTTAATTAACTTATTGTTTATTGAATTCAATGTCACATTTGTAATCATGGTAATTTTTGGAGAAAAACGGCACTCTTCGTGTGAAATTGAATAACTATATGAAGTGGTATAAATATATAAATTTTCTGCCATCATGTCTTGAATTTGTGATCATTCTAAATGCATTTGAATAGGCTGAATCATGCAGTGAAAGAAAACACACTAAATGTGCACACACACTAGTCTAGGTTTAACGTAATGTATGCGTGCGCTCTGTAGGGATGTTTTGTTAAATCGCACATCGTTAACACAACAATTACGATATTATCGCAGACGATATATATCGCACACCCCTAATGGAAACATAATTCATGTATTTAAAAATTGTATTTCCATCTCTGTTGCAACAGTTTTGGAAGTGTCTAACTGTACCCATATGTACAAGTCATTGGTGTTTGACGATGAGTTTTTGGCTCAAGGCAGAGGTGCAGCGAGGATTAGGACTTTGCTTTCTGCAAACCAGTCAAGTTCTTCCACATTGACTGAATCAATCATTTCTTTTTGAACCCTGCCTTATACACAGAGGCATTGTCATGCTAGAATAGAAAAGGGTCCTGTCCAAACTGTTGCTATAAAATTAGAAGAACACAATTCCCTAAAATATCATTAGCTGCTTAAACATTAAAATTTGTACTCATGGAAATTACTAAAGTAGTCAAACCTGTTCATTAGAAGGGGGTGTCCCAATACTTTTGGCAATATAGTGTAGTTACACAATAACTGTGCAGGTATGAATGACTTTGTGTCCATAAGTTTCATCATGTATGTGGAGGGATACCTGGTCTGCTGTAGGTCTGAGGTGAGCGGGAAGGCGTATAGCGGCCATAACCCCCTAAAGAGCTGTTGGAGCTGGGGCTGGAGGGCCTCCTCTGCCGGGGAGACTTTTCCCCATCTCCCTAGAATCAAACAGACAGTTTTTCAGCATGAAATTGAAAGCATTAGACAATTAACAATGTTAAACGGTAATCACTATGGCCCTGGGACACACAGGAGGGCTATAAAGCTGCAAAAGAAACACAGATGTGACCAGTTTGCAATAATCAGTCCTAACTAGAAATAGGCTGATCATTGAGTGATTACACCACAGAGTTTTCAAACTGAAGATGGTGAAAAACACACAATACTGTTCATGTCTCCAAACCACAACTGTTCTACTCCACAAACAAGGTCTCATTCACTAATCGTGCACATATTTGTGTGTGAAAATGTGTGTAAAATGGTTTCATCACGTAATAAGTACAAGTAACAATCTGTCCAGATTCTGAATAAAAATTAGATGTGTACATATATACAGTGTATATTGTAAGGCATGATTAGTGAACAAGACCCAATGAAACAATAATGGGTCCTGTTTCTTCATGTTAACGCTACTATACCTCGGTTGGAGTGGGGGTGAGTTGCTGAGGTGACTGTAAACAAAGAAAGCAAATGAGTAAAATGGACTTGAATGCAATGATAGATATGTCCATGAAAAAAAATTAGATTTCCCCCTAAGTTACACGACTGAAACTACTGTAACACTTCAACGAATTAGCAAAATTATGATTTTTGGCCAAGCCATGTTGCAATGAAGCTGGATGATGAGTAAAGATGATTACATTTAAAAATGGCACTATTTTAACAAATTAATACTGTAGCTGTTGCATGAGTAATTATGCAATTCTTTTGCTTTTAAGACACCTATCAAGATAAAAAAAAGTGTCAAAAATCGGAAACATCAAATATAAGACATGTATATGTTATTCCCTCATGTAAGCCTGTATTAGGGAGTGTATTTGTACCTCTCCAAAAGTCCTGTCCTCCACAGGGTAGCTCACATAGGGTGAGTATGAGAGCATGTCAGGTCTGTCAATGTTGTAGATCGCTTTGATTTTAGGAAGAGCAGCCAGGTCCTTGTAGTCCAGAAGTTCATCACCCAGCTTTGCCTTAAGAAAGAGCAACATTATGGCTTTAAAACTCTCTCTACACATATAGTTATTTGTAGGCTTGTGTGTTGCTGCCCACTGGTGGTGATCTTGAACAAATTAAAATCAATAAAGAAAAGAATCATTTTCAAATGCACTTACATAGATAACTCTGCTAGGGGAACCTGATGTACTGGAGGCAGGAGCAGAGGTGATGCTCTCAGAGGATGTTCTAGTCACCTGGAAACAAAAACAAGGTGTGAAAAACAAAAACAATAAAAGGAACAGCAACAAAAAGGCATTTTGTTGACTCAATTTAAACCCTGTACGAAGTAACATGAGTGATTATAGCACAATTCCAATGTGGCTATTACTATTGGGCGGCACTAACAACAGTTTATCAGTTTTCACAAGGTTATGAAGGAATCAACAGAAAGGTAGAAAAGGTTTTGCCGTTAGGACAGAACAATACTTTTTTTCAGTGTTGTACAGGAACAGATATAACACAGTATAATGCAATAAAAAAAATTAAAATAATCTGTATTTTGTCAGGAAAAAGTAAACAAACATGCTATAGTAAATAGTTTTTTTATTATCCTCATTAAACCTATAAAGGTTTGGTTATAGATTTATTAATATATATTGTAAGAAAGTAATATAAGAAATATTCTCTAAAAAGGCTTATTATTTAAGTCAATGTATCTTGCACTGATGCATGGACGAGACATTTAAATGGACCAGACAAATTCTTATTGAGAAATTGTTTTTTTTTTTTTTCAGTTTAAATGGCATATAGGACAAATGGTAGATTACTGTAAATTGCACACTTAAGGGAAAATGATCTGTAATTTTTTTAATCAACAAACAATAAGCTATCATGAAAAAAAAAAAACAGTGAGTATCTTATTACAATAATACGAAAGATTTATTTGTGATTTTATTTATAAGTAATGCATTCAGGGTTGCTTCACAGTGTCTTCTCTATAGCCACACACTCATTTTATAGTACTTGTCCAGACGATGTTAAAACCTGTTATTTGGTTCCTGATTTCTACTGGGTGGGAGTGGTGGTAGCCTACGGTAGCCTGACAGCCCCATTTTGGACTTTAGTGAGCATTCTATTAAAACTAAAAGCAGGTTGGGAAGTAAGCCCATGCAGAGGGGAGAGGGCCGCATGTCACAAACCTGCACAGGTACATTGGAATGGAGATCACTGAGCTGAATCCGCACTTGTTTCTGCAGGGAAAGGGTTGTTACAGAGAAGCGCTTCCACATACTGCATATCACCTTTATTTAACTACCTGGATTTCCTGTTAAATGATTTTGCGTAATATATTTCAGAGCATGTCAGCTACCTAAACCAGAGCTCATTTTTTAATTTGTAACATATTAAGGATAAAATTTAAATCCCACACCTCTGCTGACTGTCTTTTTAGGGTCCGTCACTGACTCTAGACTTTAGTCTTTAATGACATTCAAGTCAATAAAAATTGTGGATCCGCTGATAGCAGTGTTTATTTGCGTTGATTTAGTGCCTGATTATCTTAAGAAATTTTGCTAATCTTTTAACAGCACAACCATGCAAAATTTACATAGAGAAATTCTCCAACTTGCAGGATGGTTCTATGAGCTAGACACGCCAGACTACTGCAATCGTACATATTTTACTGGGACTGTACAACATCTCTCCACCACCGTGATCCAGGCACCATAATCAGCACTATAAAAGCCAAAAGTGCACTCGACAACAACATGCATCTCAACACTTGCTCAATTACAACACTTCTCCATTACTTCATGAATAACGGCTGCCATGACCAACTATTCCATAATTTTTCTTAAGCAAAATGTATTTGAAATACTGTCAACCCATTTTCTGTGGGCTAAAGTATTGAGTTTTTAGAGTAAGGTGGATTATATAATAAGCCTAATTTAAAAACAAGCCAATGACTCTGTTTCAGATCATTTACTCCGTTTAGTAAATTGCAGGTATATTAGATGCAGGTTTCTGTGCTGCAACGTTTTAGTGAATTCACTCCCCATGTCTTCAGTCACAGTTTTACAATTTGCTTGGATTTACCTTACTCTTCTCCTCCATACGCGCTGCCTGTCTGCAAGGAGGATGCCAGATGGAAGAACCTGTGAAAGAGAAAACCAAAAATAACTTGCAAGTCCATGTAAAAAAAATATGCAGGCTTTAAGAAGTATTTCACCCAGCACAATATTCACAAGTATAGTACATCACATTAATTATAACATGATTAATTACATCCTTGAAATCAGGTAGACAAAAACTTAAAGTCAGTATGATTAATTTTTAAAAGAAATTAATACTTTTATTCACTAAGGATGCTTTATATTAACACTAAACAGCACAACCATTTTGAACAGGAATAATAACAAGAAATATTACTTTAGCACCAAATTAGCATATCAGAATGATTTCTGAATGATCATGTGACACTGCAGGCTGCTAAAAATGGAGCTTTGCCATCACAGGAATACATTCTAAAAAATATTATTAAAATAGAACACATTTTAAAATTGTTATATTTTTCACAGGGGTTTTTTGGCTGTATTTTTATCAAATAAATGCAACCTTGGTGGCACTTCAAAAACATTTTAAAAAAGAACAGTAGTTTACATTTTTAAGTGGGGCTTAAATACTTTTTGTGCTCACTGTATCTTTAAAATATCTCTGTTCTTAATTCAACAAACATATTTCACATAACTCATCTCCCTGAGGAGTTAGCATGTTCATATATACTACCATATCAACTGGCATTCATAAACTAAGTAACACAATCATTCACACTTTGAATGAGTCAGCAGTCTTTCATTTTATTTTAGGCAGACTGAAAAAAAAGCTTCTAACTGATTCTGCTTTCAAAAAGCACATCTGGCTATAAATCTCCTTTAAATCACTGCACAGAGTTCAACGAGATACTGAAGTATTGCAACGTTTGAGGTGGGACACAAGAGAATAAATAAAACCATATTTATCGTATGATGTCAAATGTGTGTTTTCTTCTTTATAATTTAAGACACCTCAACTATGGAATGTATTCAGGTTTTGGATGTGACTGGTTTGAGCTGGTCTATTCTTTCGCTGTTTAAAATACAAAACAAACTATCCATTCTTGTATTTGTCAGTACAGATGTATTTTTTAAGCATAAAACTCCAAGTACACTAATACATATGATTCAAAAATCCTTGTCAGTAGTCATCAGTTTTGTCTGTGCCTGTCTGTCTGGTATCATGCTCAAAATTTATAGGACTGCAGAGGAAAATGTTTCATGCAGCATTCTCACACAAATCATCAAATTAAATGTATCTCCTCAACCGTAACTTTTGCTAAGCGCAGCCAACAAATACATTTTTTTATATTATACTTTTGTTGAATATAATCTGTAAAAGGTTGACACATTAATTGTCACATTAAAATAATTTACAAATAAAATAGAAGCAATATTCATTGTTTTGAAGTATTTGTTTTAATAAAACATCAGCCAATTCCAGTATCTGAAGCAAATCATGCAAATTTGATGATGCTTAAATTACCTTGCAGGTACATCTCCTCCCCCTCCCCAAACATCTGGTTACAACATGCACATCTGGCACATGTGGGATGATAGTGTTTTTCTCCAGCCTGCAGATAAACACAAAGCAGAACACATATCAGTCACTCACCTTTTTATATTTTTATATACTCATATTGGGGGATTATTAAGACTACATTTGTCTTAATTCTCTTGACAATGTAATTAACTGATTTATTCCTCAAATAATTCACTTTATTTGCAGTTCCAAATGCTAATTTGATAGCGGTAGGAAGGGGGACACCATCTGCAGTAACTGTGTCTGAACAGTAGAGGGACCACAGATGCAAAGCTGGCTATCATTACATTACCATTCAAAGGTTTGGGGTTTGGTAAGAATTTTTGAAAGTATAGACTCAACTTTAGTGTCATGTGATCCTTAAAAAATCATTCTAATATGTTGATTTGATTCTCAGGAAACATTTCCTATTGAAAACAGCTGTGCTATATATTTTTATGGATTTTCTTTAATAGAAATTTCATTTTTTTTTTTTTTATATAAGTCATGTTTTAATCAGATGTCTTTACTGTCAACTTTAGATCAATTTAATGTGTCCTTACTGAGTAAAAGCATTCATGTAAAAAAAAAAAAAAATTATATATATATATCTCTTACTGATCCCAAACATTTGCATGGTTGTGTACTATCACCAAAAGAGAAAGAGATAAAGTATTGTCCTTTTCGATCTTATTCTCTCTAGCTTTCTATTAATTCATCTGGTTATCAATCATTTTAGTGTTTCTTAAGAGCTCTGTCGGGCTGTAATTTTGCAGTATTCCTTTAAATATTTGGTGTCCTTTCAAAGTTAGATTTAGTTCACGAGGTAAATAGCTCCGTCCACCCTGAAAGAGCACACATTAGTAAAATCAATCTTTTATATTTTCCTGTCATCCATTAGATTCCTGTCATCCATTTTTCATCAACCTTCATCAAGTACTAAAAGACTCATCTATGATTGGAAATTTTCAGCATGCTGTCACACTCCTTTTAGTGTTCAGCACAGCTGTAGATTTAACTTCTCATGTATCAAAACATGCACTGGAAAATCTCCTCAGCCCCTCCCCCCTCTCCATTCACTTTCAGCACAGTGACAGTCTTGCCACTCAAAATGTCATGACATTTCAGGCTCAGATACAATTCCCAATAAATGCTACAGAGTAAATAGGACCTGCAAATCATGCTCTGTGCTCTCTTTCTGTTACATACTTTACAACAACAACAAATGGAACAAGCTGTTTAAAAATCCCCTCAAATACACAATAAAATCCTTTACCTTTGATTACCTCAGTACCCCGATGCTGTCTAGGCTTGTGACCTGACGTTACTCCTGAAAGGTGGGCTAATTATTCTTGCTAACATTAGGATACTTGTATCAACTAGCCTTCAGTTCATGTAAAAAATGTTGCCGGGGGCAAAAAAAAAAAAAAAGGCCAAGATATTGTTTTGCATGACTTCATTTTAAATCTACTCAAAGCACTTGGCAAAGAAACTGTGCAGTTAAAACTACCATCCTAAACCATGATGTCACACAGTGACTATCTAATTTTGGGTTACCGAGAGCAAGTGGCAGTGCCAATGGGACAGTCACTATAGCAACAGTGTCCCACTCCTGACACACACACACACACACACAGATACACTTATTTATAGAGCTTTAAAGTACACAAAGCTGTAGATCTTTATGTATATGTGACAGATATGAAATGCACACCTAACTTAAGTATTTTTACAAGCAACATTTACTCATACGAGACCACTAATGGGAAACTTAGCAGATGCAAAGAACAACTACATCAATAGGGTGCTTGTTAGGGTGTAACAAAATAGCTGTTTAAAGAAAAATGAGGAAGCGTTTGCATGCAAGAACAAAACTGAGTGAACAAAACAGAAAGAGTAAAAAGGAGACGCAAAATGAGGAGATATATTGTACTGTACTGTAATTAGGCTTCAGATGGGTTGTGAATTGACTGTCTGAGATTGTCTTCGTAAGCACCCACTCATCTTCTGCCCCCTCCAACACTTAAAAATAAAGGTGCTTAAAAGGTTCTTCACAGAGATGCCATAGAAGAACCATTTTTGGTTCCACAAAGAACCATTCAGTCAAAGTTTCTTTAAAGAACCATCACTTTCTTAACTTTTAATAATCTAAAGAACCTTCTTTAACCACAAAGAACCTTTTGTGAAACAGAAAGTTTCTTCAAATGTTATAGGTTCTTTAAGGAACCATTTAGACAAAAAGGTTCTTCTATGGCATCGTGAAGCACCTTTATTTCTAAGAGAGAACATGACCACTGCGATTACAGAGTACCAGCCTGAAGCTCTCAGATGACAATAAAAGCCTTTCACATGAACTCAAAGCAAAGATATGATCAAACTCAACCAAGTCTTGCTATAAAGTCAACATGAAATGGCATTAACAAGCCATTTTATTCATATTTCAGAGTGAAACGGAATATGGAGAAAATGGCTTTATTTCTCCATTTACTTTGAGACATCTTGGTTTTTATGCTAGTGCACTCTTTAAAGTTGACCATTGTTTTTGCCGAAATGCACATTTAACTTTTTTTAGTTAAATGGATAAAAAAAATGATGACTCATCCTGCACTGCAGATTTTGTCCAATCAAATGTTCTCTAGCATGAGAATGTCCCTCCCCCTCATTCATGGCTGTTATGCAACTAAACCCTATTGGCTATTTAAAAAGATTAACCCTTCAATATGTCCTGCACAAAGTGTTTTTAGTTTTAATGAAAAACATTTTCATTAATTTTTGGAATAGAGCTGAAAAAATTTAAATATAAATATTACAATTACAAATTTGAATGAAAATTAGAAGGGCTCCCGACTAAAAAAAGTAATATATTTAAAATACATTTATTTCATACTAAGTATAGTTCAAATCTATTAACATATTTACTGACATATTGCTCAAGACTTACTGATATATAAATTATAATTAAACTTTATTTGGAGTAGGCCTACTACTTCTGCACAATTTTTAATATAAAGCCTAAAATGTGTTTAATGTCACTATTGATGAAATTTGTATGGTCTTTAAATAATATCGGTCTTCGAATGCAAGATATTTAAAGTGTACCTGAAGTATACTTGCAATACTTCCAATTTAGCATAATGAAATATACTTCAGTATATCTTTAGTTGGACTTCAGCACTACTTCTGCACAATTAAAGTGCATTGAGTACAAAATTAACTGTTCCAATTTAGCAGACTTTAAGTATACCAGTTTAGTATACCAAAAGTACAATTGCAGGGTATTTTTATTAAGTACATAAATATGTAAATGTATTTATAGTATACTTAACATGAAATAAATATATTTAAAATAGATTTTAGTATATTTATTTTTCACTAGGGCTGCTTTGTCAACTACCTGAAATAAATAAGTTAAGGATAAAGTACTAAAATCACAAAAACTAAAATTTTAATAAAAATAAACTACAGCTAAACAGAAATATTTTTAAACTAATAAAAATGACAAAAGCACAACAAAATTACCAAATCCTAAACGAAAATCGAAAACTAAAACATCTAACAAAATCTAATAATAAAAGCTAATTTAAAATATTAATGAATACTAAAATAGTATATAAATAACACTGTCCAAACTTTCAATTTCTTTTTTGGTCTTTAAAAAAAGAAAAGAGGGTTCATTTTGATTTCATGTGGACTTTAAGCAATGTTAACAATATAATTAAGCCATCCATTCATCTACTTCCATCTATTAATGAATCCATTCATTAAAGGACCCCTGACAAATAGAAAAGATTTCTTCAAACCTCAAGTACTTTTCCAGTGATGTATTTCTTGCAGGTTTCACACTGGATGCCGAACATGGCGTGGTAGTCTGCCTCACAGTAGGGGATCCCGTCTCTGCAGAACATCAACAATACATTACAGAAGATGTATTTCACTAGAACTCAAGGATGGTGACAGATCTCTGTATGCTCTCTGGCCTTGAGAATCCCCTGTTCTTTCATATTATGATATCAATAGCGTTGAGTCATTCCAGAGGGTTCAGCAGGCTTGCAGATCACATTACTACGATCGATAAAGCACACACAAGCACCCAGAGAAGAGTAAGAGTGGGACTAACTTGCTGATATATTCTGCATTAAGCACTTTATTGCACACTTTGCACTTGAAGCAGCCAAGGTGCCAGTGCTTGTCCAATGCCACCAGAGACTGCTCATTTTTAAACTCCTTTCCACAGGCACAGCAATCTGCAGAGACAGCGAGACAAAAGTGTAGTGTAATACTAATGAAATGGCATGGAAAGCTGTCAATGCAGACATTTAGGAAATAAATGAGTGAGTGTGTGTGTAAGAGAAAGAGACTAACATAGAATGGAATAGATTGCAATGCAGAAACACAGAGTACTCACTGTGCACAGCCTGTGGGGATGCCGTGCTGTTGACTGGCACAGGCTGAGTGCATTTCTCACAAACGCACTCCTTCCCATTAAACGTCACGCGGCCCCCAGCTGGAAATGGCTGCCTGCCAGAAATACACACACAGTCACCTCATCATTCACCAAAGTTATAAAGTCACTTTCACATGAGGATGAACTTTAGACTAGTTTCTCAAACCATTTTCAATTAGGATCAGATGCAGAGACACTACATGATGAAAAACTCACAAAAGGGTGACAAAACTAAACATTTTAGCACATTAGCAGTTGGCAAGCATTGTAAGAATTACTGCTTTGTTAATCTTTTAAATTAAATCAAATAACTTAGCATAAGCAAAGGCAGATGCATTCTAAAAGGCAAAGTTCACCCAAAACTTTATTTACATATACTAAAAAAGGGAAACGTTGTATTATTTACAAAAGGTGACATTTAGCATAAATTTAAAAGCAATGAGAATGAATGCTGTCAGTCTTTGAAAAGACAAAAAAAGCACCCTAAAACAAGCTAAAAGAAAGTCTTCTAAAGCTATAGCAGATCCAAGCCGCTATTTACCGTGTAACCGTGTACCGTGCAGCTCCTCTTTAGGATTCATATTCATTTAGATATTTTCATAACTGCCACATCAAAACCAGTTATGACACACATGACAACCAATGTTGTTTGGCATCACTGGTCAGCTCTTTTGTTGATTTTGATTGCTTCTATTGTCCTCATTTGTAAGTCGCTTTGGATAAAAGCGTCTGCTAAATGTAAATGTAAATGTGTCAGACCTGCTGTGTTTTTGCATGCATAGTATACTTATATTAAACATAAATGTTAATTAGATTTCAGAGCTGTGGACAGGATTTTAGCGAATAATTACTAAAATTTTAGTCTGACCTTGACACACACACACGCAAAAATCAATCAAAATACTTGCAGCATCAAATATAGCATTTTTTTATGCTTTTTTTGGTATTGACTCCAAGATGCTTCAAGAAACCTACCTGCAAAGCTACAGTACTGTTAAAAGTTTTAGGCACTTGTGTAAAAATGCTGTAAAATGAGGATGCTGTCAAAAATAAATGTCATAAATAGCTTTTCTTTATCAATTAACTTCTATTAACTAAATTAAATCAATATTTGGTGTGACCATCCTTTGCATTTAAAGCAGCTTTTGCCCTAGATGCACTTGCGCATAGTTTTTTAGGCAGCTTTGCAGGTAGGTCTCTTAAAGCATCTTGGAGACGTCGCCACAGTTCTTCTGGATTGAGTCTGTCTCAGTTTGTTCTGTTTCTTCATGTCATTCCAGACAGACTGGATGATGATGAGATCAGATCTCTGTGTGGAGCTCTGGCTGTTGTCAGACTCCTTGAACAAACAAAACTCTCACTGGATTATTACAAATAATAGCAAAATGAATATTTCCTACTGACACTACAGCAAAAGATAGAAATAACTGACTTAAAACCATTTTTTAGCTGGTGAAAATACCAGTGTTCTAATCATGTTGGCCACCACTGTATATTTTTGAGTACTGTAACTTAATTAATTTGAGTTCATATAAAATATTTTCTTGATATTAAATAAATATAAAATCTAAATACATGTAGTTTATGTAGTTTAAACTAAATTAAATAAAAAATTACAATTCCAAAAATCAAATTAACTAATATTTTATTGCTTTCAAATAAAGCATCATCCAACATATATAGTTTTAGAATTAGTAAATTTACTGATTTTACAGTGTATGAAAATAAACATCCTGAATATTCTGCCTCACATCACCTTTTGCATTCCACAGAAGTTTAATACGAATTAATCTTATATTATTACATTAAATAATTTTCTGGTGCTACAGCACAATGAACATGACAGGCATAAGACCTCTTATTTGAAGCAGACCTTCATTATAAGACAGGCTTATGATGGCACATGTCCAATCATCTCTTTGGCTGATAGTTCAGTACGAGAGCTGATGATATCACAGTATGTTGATCATCGGCTCATGCTCTCATCACCCAATGGAAGAGTGAAAGTCCACGTCCAATTAACACACCATCGCCTGACAGTGAATTTAAAACTAATGAGCTAGTCTATGTTATCCAAAACTCTGTAATGGATACTGGTTGTCTGTTTTTCTTGGTATAGCAATGAATACTTAGTTCCTGTGGTTGTTGGACCAGTTTAGTTTGTAAAAATTTCATCATTTAGTTCTGTAGACCTCTGTTCACACCTACTAGCCTGCCATTAAAGTTATAATAATAGCAGTAACAATAATTTCTTACTAGCAAATGTAGAAACACTACGTGTTGGAATAGGTTGGATAAAGTCATCCAGAGCAACTACAAATTAGATATTTACGAGGTGATTTAAGATCCAGTCGCACCCAAGATACCAATTGGGTACACCGTGTCCACAGAAACATGGGCATCGCTATGGAAATGTAGGAGGGCCACGTTCTGAGCAACATGTCACATGCACATACACAACATCCGTTCAGAGACTGAGGGACACCCTACACCACTCTGGAAATAAGTGGCCCGGGAGCAGAACATATACTTAACATTCTTACTGAAAGCTAACGGGTCCCCTTTCCTTCCCCTCCCTAAGTAACAAGATTGCCTTCTCATAAAATTCGCTCACACACAGTCAGCGGCAGAACATTTCGAAATAAAACACCACAAATGGCAGCTACACGAGCTAGTATGAATGCACACACGGAAACACAATAAGTACATTTAGTTTGAATCTCCATGAGATACAAATGGAATTTGTGCATCCAGGGTAAGACCCTGCATGCAGGAAGTGCTGAATCTAATAAAGATGCATTTCACACAGCTTTTGTCTTTTTTTTCACTTGCAAATACAACAGCAGTCTTGGACATTACACTGACACCTACTAAAAGCCCCGATATACTTCAAACGAAATCGAAGAACGAACTGATATGACGTCATTTCGAACAAAATCAGGCCGAAATGAAGTTCGTTTTGAGTTTGTTTCGGCAGTTCGAAACAGCTCACCAAAGCGAACTTTCTGGGGGAGTTCGTTTTGGCTCCTAAACACCTTTGAGCTTCCATTGGTCTGTGACGATTACGCAATCGGTGGGTGTGTTCTGAAACTCCACCTTCTTTGACGTGAGAATTTTTTTTCCCCGGTTCGTTTCTTATTCCACGGAGGTCAGACAGGAGAACAACATCTAGAACAGCAACAACACCAAGGTACTAGCAATATGAATACACTGGAATAGCTGAGCTGCCACAGATACTGTATATCCGCACCTGTACAATCACTCGCGGAGAGACTTTAAAGATTCAGAGAAAGCATTTAATTCCTAGAAAGAAATTGCAACGAAGCACAACGAGTTATGCAAAGCGATGTGGAGAAACATCCGATGCCAGTTTTCCAAAGCCATGAAAAGAATGAAAGGAAAGAGTGGAGATAAGGTGGCGAGTAGCAAATACATGTTTCAATAAATATTTTACACCATACTGCTGCTGCTGTAATTTTTTTCTGTAAGCGAATGAAATGCCAAAAGAACATACAATAATTAACCTTTGTTTTGATCAAAATTAAATCATGACAATATAAATTTTATATAAAAAGGTGCAATAATTTACCCAGTTTAATAAAATAAATGAACAATCATAAAATAAAGTAACATGTTTGTGTTATTGAGATGGCTCCAATATTTTTTCACATCATGCTAAAGTTTTCAGACTAAAAAAAAAAGTTTTCAGACTATGAGCCATTCACACTTCCCATAAAGGACTGATTATGGAAATGGAATGGTTCTTTTGTATTGCAAAACATGATACTTGACTCTTAACTGCTGCTAATCATTATTCTTTTGTCTATAATATTTTGACCATTGGTACACGTCTCACACCTAGATACATTTCATCATTGTTGCGTTTAGGGTATATGTGCGAGTGGCGCGACACACACAGTTCGAATACAGTATAGCGTCGCTCAGCCTTTTCGAACTTCTTTTTGCCCCCAAACGAATAACGAAAACGAATTTCTTTTGAAGTATATTAAGCCTTAAGCCTATTCTTTTTTTCATGTGTAAAGGTATGAAAAAAAATCATACCTTGCATTTAGCAAATCTTATTAGATTTTTTTATTTATAATAATAAATATAAACTTTTATAATATCATATTATAACTTGTGTAATAATAATAATCATTTCATAATAAAAACAAAAATAATTTAATAATAATACAAATATGTATTTTTACATTTCTACATGCAGTGTGCAATTTTTGTCCACATTAATTACATAATATAATTACACTGAAAGAAATTGATAGAAAGCAAACACTGTTAATGTCTGAAGAAGTAGAAGAAAATTAATTATTAAAAAAATTATTATTATTATTAAGACATTAACTGTGTAAATTATTATTACTGATAAAACTGATATTGAATGTAATGTGACCCTGGACCACAAAACCAGTCATAAGGGTACATTTTGACCTGATACCTGAAAGCTGAATAAATATGCTTTCCATTGATGCATGGTTTGTTGTGATAGGACAATATTTGGCTGAGATACAACTATTTGAAAATCTGGAATCTGAGGGTGAAAAAAAATCTAAATATTGAGAAAATGGCCTTTAAAGTTGTCCAAATGAAGTTCTTAGCAATGCATATTACAAATCAAAAATTAAGTTTTGATATATTTACGGTAGGAAATTTACTAAATACAGGTGCATCTCAATAAATTAGAATGTCGTGGAAAAGTTCATTTATTTCAGTAATTCAACTCAAATTGTGAAACTCATGTATTAAATAAATTCAATGCACACAGACTGAAGTAGTTTAAGTCTTTGGTTCTTTTAATTGTGATGATTTCTATTGCTACAAATATACCCGTGCTACTTTTGACTGCTTTTGTGGTCCAGGGTCACATATTGTATGTGATTAACATTTTGAATTTGGTTACTGCTGCTGTACCTTATACAAATGAAAATGTTCAACTGAAAACATAAAGCTAAAACTGTTAAAGGACTAAAGTGAATGTCTGTTAGTGTGTTTGAATGTGTGTCTTACTTGCAGATGGCACAGACAAAGCAGCGTGGATGGTATGTCTTGCCCAGAGCGGACACAACTTCCCCTTCAATGAACTCTTCACAACTGAAGCAGCGGGTGCCATAGAGTCGCTGATAATCCAGAGTGCAGATAAACTCGCCCTGACGCACAAAAAAGCCTCCCTGAGCCAAATCACATCCACAAACTGCAGAAAAAAAGAGAGAGACAGTTAATGCTACAATGTGTTCATCTTTAATGATAACATAAAATTTCCAGAATGCAATCTGTCATTCAAAGTAATCACTTGAATGTGTGCAAAACCTGAAAAGTTCATTCTGGTGAGGATGGGGAAGAAACCTGTTGGTGCTTCCATTTACGATCACTAATAGTCAGTGCTATAATAAACAAGCATCTAATATAAAATATTAATGGATATATAATCTAATATGACAAAAATCTATTGACACTTTTGACAATGAATATATATGAGAGGAAAATGTTAGGGAGGGATGATTTGGGAAGAGATCCAGTCAGAAATCATCTCCTTAATTTTAAGTGGTTTTATTTAAATTTTAAGATATATAATGAAATAATATAGAAGAAGTTATATATTATGTAATATATAATAAGTTCGGAAAGACGAGATAAATGCTTAATAAATGCATTATACTGTAACTAAACCCGTTAGATTTTAGTAGACTAAATATACTGTAGATTAGTTGACTAAAACCAGACTAAAACTAAAACAATTCAGATGACTAAAACTAAATGGCATTTTAGTCAAAAGGCTATGACTTAAACTGAATCAAAATGTGCTGTCAAAATTAACACTTTAATTTTTTTTAAGTTTGTGCTTAATGGGTCTGAGGAATAAATATGCGTATTACCCATAATGACATTAATGACTACCCAAATCATGTGCTTGGGTGTGTGTCCATTTGTTTATGTGAGCAAAGCAATTGTTGTGTTTCTAATCAGTACACCATGACATGATCCAGGCACATGGAGACTGGAGACCAGGCAGGTGCATGAGTGGACAGGACAAAACAAAATGAAACACAACCTTCCTCTAATTTTCCCCTCTCCCTCACTGACTCTCTCAATCTCTCTTTCCTTTTCTCACAGTCCTTTTTCCACTAAAACAGGAACCACATCAGGAACATAATACACACGGACACGCTCCGATGACATCATTCTCAGGGCTGATCCATTTTCCACCTCCTCTGAGGTAAATGATAACTGTGGAATTTCCTTCTCTCCCATGGCTTTTCTTTTCTCACTTTGTGATTTTAAAACATAAGATAGTACCCAGATTTGAAGACTACAGTAAGATTTAACTTCTACTGTTAATAAGATTTTGGTAGGCTACTATTAGATGGATAGCCTAAATGTCCTAATTCAGATGGGCTACCTGTTTTTTTTTTTTTATTGGTATATCAAAGCCTTATTCCAAAAGGTACATCTGGAAAAAGGGGGGTTGTCTTATAATCAGGGTCGTCTTATATTTGGGCCAATATGGTATGTTATGTTTATATGTTCAATATATTTATATATAATATAAAATATAAGAATATAAATATATACATGTAAATATTTTCAAAATATTTACTGTGTGTGTATTTATATACATAATAAATATACACAGTAGACATACATATATTATGTAAAGAAAAACTTTTATTTTGGATACGATTAATCGCGCAGGTTTGACAGCACAGCACTACATGGTAAAAAAAACTGTTAATTGGTTAACATTAAGCTTCCCTACTATATACCATAAAAAAAACAATGTAATACATCTAATGTAATTTTACAGTAAAATACTGTACAGTTTTTAGAAGCAAATAAGAACAAGTCATTTTATACTTTACAGTGAAAAACAGTAAATTGGCATTCCCAGAATTTCCTGTTTGACACAACTCATTTTATGGTTTTTCATTTAAACAATTGTTGTTGTTGTTTTTACTTTTACAGTTATGTATCTTTGGGCAGTATGTTACATTTTATGCTGTTAACATTTATTGTATTATTTAGTGTCATGTTCATTACCATGATGGTGTTTTTCATTTGTGTGCACCTTCTATACAGTATATTAGTTTTTTTTCGCAAATTTGCTACTGTAGTTTTTACAGTAAAGTTCTGGCAACCACAGCTGAAGCTTTTTAACATATTTAACAAACAACTACAAAACAAAATTTGCCCTGAAAAATCCAAATATAAACATTTTTTTGTCGTCAGTACAGAAGGAAAAACTCAATTCAAATTCAAAATCAAATCTGGACTATGCAATCCATATTCATTTTATTGCATTTTATTCTTACTGCAAGTCAACAATTGCCTCATTTTGTCCGTTTATTTTTAGTGAATAACAGGAGAAACATTTGAGAATAAGTTGAAACATAGAAAACATTTTGCTCTAAAAGAGCAACTCCTGAGCAGTAACATTTTTACAATCCCATCCCAGTATATTATAGTATGCATCCTATTCTCTCCAAGTGCCTGACAGTTATCCATCTGCCTCTGTAAGATCCTATCTTGAATGACCTCACTTTGCTGTTACATAATAAGCTTTAGCACTCAGAAAACAGGCTCTCTCTCTTGCTCTCTTTCACACACACCCAAATGCACACTTATACTAACGTACTAATTCCCGTGCTAGCACAACACAATGCATTCTAGAAATGTTCCTCTCGTAGTAAAAATCCAAACAATAAAACAGGAATGTTGCTCAGGAAATGACAGGCATATTTTCCACAGCTGCTGAAGAATGATTGGTTGGCGACTGTGATGTGGAAGGTTAGCTAGGTTATAGGCATATGTGGTGTGAGAATGTGTGAATTCTGTTCCAAATTAATTAAAACTTCCTCCTAAAAGCACAAACTGTCTTAAAGAGAACATGTAAGGTAAGAGGACAGCCCACACCCAGAGCAAGATTGAAAACAACATTGAACTTCTCATTTCATCAAGCAAAATGGATTTTTAATAGAAGCCATAAATGCTATTTTTTTTTACATGAATTTGACCAATGATAGACATGCATATTATTTTGGCAATTTTTTATATTATCCTAGGCAGTTTCATAAGATACTTCTAAAAAAAAATTTATATATATATATATTTTTTTTGTACAGTGAAATTTTAACCTAATATATAAAATGTTCATATACAAAGATATATTTATACTTTGTGGAAAAAAAAAAAAAGTGTGTAATATATAAGGACACCATTTTTCAAAATTAAATAACTACTGTATAAATAATTAAATTAGGTTAAAGTAATATAAGTGTCACGAATCGGGCCTCTGTGGCTCTCTCCGACGGCCTCCGGAGGGCACCCTCTCCCGAGTACTAACGTTCATGGACTACACTTCCCAGACACCCCGTACCTGGGGCTGATTATGGCACAGGTGTTCCCCCTTAGCTTCCCTATTTAAGCAGCTCCCAGACTCTCTATGGTTGCGAAGTCTTGTATTGCCCCGGCTACATTTCTGAGCGTTTATCCCCTTGCTTGTCATCTCTTGTGTATTACCTCGGACTGTTCTTACTAGTGTGATTCTCTGCCGCCTGCCCCGACCCTCGCTTTGCCACTGTTTATTCCCTTGGATTACCCCTGCTGTACGTGACGCTGTTGACTGAATACTGCCTGTTTTACTCTGCCTGTTATTCTAATAAAAGCTGCAAATGGATCCGCACGCCTCTGACTCAGCGTTACAATAAGCCAAATATAGTCAATTATAAAAAAAGTATTAACTATTAAAATATTATATATACTGTAGAATATTTTCTTCATATTCAGTTGACATCTTTTACTCTCTTTTGGATAAACATTCCTAAAAAAATATTGTTTTCAGTTACTAATTGAGCTGTCAATAGAGTAAAATAGTTGTGATTGATCTCATGATGTATTACCAATGTTTAGAAAGGATAATGAAGTTATAATATCAAATGCCTGCTTAATTATTACATTAAACATTTATGTTAATTCATTGACTTTGACCAATACTTTTCAGTAAAAGTTTTTGTGGACCCCTCAGCTTCCCATTGCAGCCCTGCCCCTGGACCCCAGTTTGAACACCACTGCTGTAAGCACACTTTTGCCCATCAAGTACTGAAGAATGTAACCCAAACCCTGCAATGATAAGAAGTCCTCAACACTGGGCACCACAGGGTGTGTCTTTCACCCTGCCGGGTATATTTAGCTCAGCTGCAGACAGAAAACAACACCTGAACAAGAGCAGCAAGGAATGTCTGTGAGCAACGCTGCTCTCATGATCACACACACGATCAGTCTTCACTCAGCTGAAAGTGTGCAAGTTATAATGTTAGTAATCATTTTGAAATCTAGAGGATGTTTTAATCCAAAACAGCAAATACCAGAACAATTCCAGGAACAGACCTCCCTGGGGTTAAGTGCTCCAGATGGACACCCCATCAGCACCTTGGCAATGAACACTTTGGGTGCTTAAGCTCCCAAGAATGTCACACCTGCTATATGATGACTGAAGGTTACAGATACAGAAAAGAGCAAATAAATTAGAAAAAATGAAAAAATACAGCACAGCTAAGGAGGTTATACAAGCGGCACTAAAAAGAGGATGGTTGGGCTAGGAGAAATGGAAAAATTATGGTGGAGGAAGATAAGCAGACTATAGAATAGGGAAGGAGTGCAAACAAGAAAAACTGGGAGGGTGAACTGAGAACACACACGATCAGTCTTCACTCAGCTGAAAGTGTGCAAGTTATAATGTTAGTAATCATTTTGAAATCTAGAGGATGTTTTAATCCAAAACAGCAAATACCAGAACAATTCCAGGAACAGACCTCCCTGGGGTTAAGTGCTCCAGATGGACACCCCATCAGCACCTTGGCAATGAACACTTTGGGTGCTTAAGCTCCCAAGAATGTCACACCTGCTATATGATGACTGAAGGTTACAGATACAGAAAAGAGCAAATAAATTAGAAAAAATAAAAAAATACAGCACAGCTAAGGAGGTTATACAAGCGGCACTAAAAAGAGGATGGTTGGGCTAGGAGAAATGGAAAATGGAAAAATTATGGTGGAGGAAGATAAGCAGACTATAGAATAGGGAAGGAGTGCAAACAAGAAAAACTGGGAGGGTGAACTGAGAAAGTCAACAATGAAACTTGAGGATCTTAATATTGGACTCGAAATAAAATCTCTGGATTGCAATTCTCAACATGTCTGACTCTCTGAAACCTAAACTTTGCAATGCAACAAGAGCAAGTAAACAAGATTATAAAAAATGTGTTGGCTGGCAAAAGCAATTCCTTTACACATTCCTCACCTGAGGCACTTTAAATCTAAGGGATACCTTTTGGAACAATCTCGGAAGCTATCGGTGAAAGATCAA